GGCAAGAAATGGATCCAATGGATCAATGGATTAGAGCCACAGCACGGCAGGAATTTAGACACACCAAGTGTGCTTTCTACAGCCAAATGTAGAGAATGCTTCTTATCGTCTGTGATTCCTGCCTCTAATTAAAATTGGGTGTTTGCTTTACTTCATTCCCAAAGCATAAACTTTGGCTTTTTATAGCCCAAGCAGTGTGCTATTTTAAACATGTAGAGGAAATGCATTTTCAGTTACAAACATTTGCTCCTGTGAATCAGTTCTTATTTGCTAGCAAAGGATGTGGGACAGGATGTTTTACCATCCTGCTCTGGTTTTCCTGTATTGCTTAAATCTGTTTAGAGAAAAGAAAAATAAACAAATAAAGTGTTTCTGCTGGACAATTTCTATAAACTGAAGCAACTCCAAAAATGAAAATGAAAAACATCTGTGGAAAAGTATTACAATAATTTTATTTTAATAAATTGGATTATTCCTATAGATTCTTCCCCTGAAAAGACTTCCCATGCCAGGCACGTGCAGCTTGCAGCAGATACTAATATCTGCAATGATAAAATGTGCCCACTTGGACACTTCAGATCAGATGCATTCCTCTTGACCCTGTCTTTTCCCAAGCAAAATTACAACTGGAGAAGCTTGCTGAGATCCATTTCAGAAAAACGATCATGCCAACCTTGAGGGTCACCTTCTGGATTTATTCAGAAATTTTCATGTACAACTCTTGAGCTTTTTTTGATGCAGGCAGACATATCCTTGTAATCTATTACATTCCACTACTGCATTTTAGAAGAAATTGGGGTGCCTGGGTGGCGCAGTCGGTTAAGCGTCCGACTCTTGGTTCCAGCTCACTCAGATCATGGTCTGAGGGTCATAAGATTGAGCTCCGTGTTGGGCTCTGTGCTAGGGTAGAGCCTGCTTAAGATTCCTCTCTCCCTCTTCCTCTGCCCCCCTCCCACGCACTCTAAATAAATAAATACAATCTTTAGAAGAAACTGATTTTAATCAAGAAATTGATTTTAATCAAGAAATTAATTTTAATCAAATTTCACTTGACCCTTGGGCACCTGGGTGGCTCAGATGGTTAAGCGTCTGCCTTCGGCTCAGGTCATGATCCTGGGGTCCTGGGATCGAGCCCCGCATCGGGCTCCCTGCTGCTTGGGAGCCTGCTTCTCCCTCTGCTTCACTCTCTCTCTCTCTCTCTCTCTGTCTCTCATGAATAAATAAATAAAATCTTTAAAAAAATTTTTTTTTCACTTGGCCCTTTTATAAGGGAGTCAGCGGTCCATTTATCTATTGAAAGGTATTTTACCACTTGGCCCCTCCAGATTCCTCTGTCCTTCCGCTCTGTCCCAGATGCGGTCCTGTATGAACAGCCCGAGAAAGACACTCTTCTTCATCAAATTTTAGTCAGGCTGCTTTGAGCCCTCTTCTCAACTAGGCCTCGATCTTGGCCTCCATCCTTGCTGGGCGCGCATTTTAGTAATTTAGCCCAATTTTAGCAAGAATCCTGCTAGCCAGTTTTAAGAGAATCCTCCACTCTTGGTATCTGATCACCCTAATATCTAAGTTCCTCACTCCCCACCCTTGATGTACAAGTACTCAGCCCGCCTTCAGGGAGAATCCTGTTAAGTCTGTTTAGCAAGAATCTCCCTACCGCGGCGTCTCTTAGTAATGTTCCATCCTCAGACACCCTCCCGGCTGCCCTTGTTCTGCTCCCTGGCCATAAATCCCCAGCTGTCTTTGCTGTACTAAGAGTTGAGCCTGATCTCTCTTCCTTATTGTGATAGTCTTGCCACCTACTGCAATAATCCCAAATAAGTCTTCCTTACCATTTTAGTAAGTGTCAGAATGGAGTGTCCTGGCAAGAGATGGAAGAGGAGGAAGAATGGGAGATCTGGGTATTAATGTCCCTGGATTCCCCCTGGAGAGTCCATTGCTCAAGGGAAGGTCTCAGCTCCTGTCAGGAGGCTCCCCCCGTGTTCAATGCCAAAGCTGTTCCCCCTCTTGCCCCTTCAGGTCTAGGGGAGAAGAGGCAGCCTCATATTACTAGCCCCAAGCACACAACAGTATTCTATCTGTGGTTTTTCATCACTTTGTGAGTTATTAAACTCTCCTCAAAGTATCCTAATTTGAGGATGCCATCTGTTTCCTGCTGGGTCTCCCTAATACAGATACCATTTCAGCAATTTATCCTTGAGAGCTACTTGCTCTTTCTAAGAAAGGAAGGCCTGGATCCAGAATGCAGTGAGGCTGCCACGAGTGACTCAGTGACTGAAGCAAGCTGACCTTGTTAAGCTGCCACTTCTCCCTCCTCCAGTAATCTTCATCATTATAGCAACAGAGTGTTTTCTGAAACACACGTGGTTTCCAAGTAGAATCTCTAAGCATCAGTAGGGGATTATTTAAAGAAATATCCAAGGAGGCTGGAAGTAAAAATTGTGCTAGCTGAAATGAACTATGCTTGAGCCCTAAGGTACAAGAAACTCTGCCTTTATTTCTATCTGATACTTAATCCAGAGTTAACTTTTACAGTACAACTTTTAATAGATGTAAGAGACACTATTTAATAATACCACATATATGCCTGGTAACCCAAGTAAAACCTGCAGAAGACTATTTGTTAAATTCAGATTGTTGTAGATTATGAAATCAATTCAGTGGCCCCTGACATTTTTTTAAACGACACATACTACACACAGTCATGTAAAACAGAAAATCAGAATTCATCATATGTAATAAAGGTAAATATTTCACCAAATTTTATTTCACTTTTTTACATTCCTATATTTATGAGCGTACTAGGGCATACTACAAAATGCATTCCTTACTGTGAGTCAATCAAGTCTGAAAGCTACTGGTCTGAAAAGAATCCCTTTCAAACAATTTAACAATTATAAGGCTAAAAACACACTGCTTCAGCCTACAGCCTCACATTTTTTTAATCTCAACCCTCACTAAAAATACTTTGTCACTCAGTATAAAAATTTTATGGAATAATACTTACCATATAGTAGAGTATGCTATTTTTTTTAAAGATTTTATTTATTTGGCAGAGAGAGAGAGAGGGCACGCACAAGCAGACAGAGCAGGCAGAGCAGCAGGCAGAGGGAGAGGGAGAAGCAGACTCCCTGCTGAGCAGGGAGCCCAATGTGGGGCTCCATCCCAGGACCCTGGGATCATGACCTGAGCCGAAGGCAGACACTTAACTGACTGAGCCACCCAGTAGCCCCTAGTATGCTATTTTTTTTTTACTCCATTTTATTTCGTTTCTTTCTTTATTTTTAAAGATTTTATTTATTTGAGAAAAAGAGAGAGAATAAGCGGTGGGGACGGGCAGAGGGAGAGAGAGAAGCAGACACCCCAATGAGCATGGAGCCTGATGCAGAGCTCGATCCCAGGACGTGGAGATCATGACCTGAGCCGAAGGCAGACACTTAACTGACTGAGCCACCCAGGCACCCCCCCATTTTATTTCTTTTAAATGATGATTGTAAACCACAGCTTGAAAACTACTGGCCTACAATATGAACAGGGCCAGTGTGGAGAGCCCTGTCCCATGGCTGCCCTCTTTGGTGTTTACATCGTTTCCACCATGGTGGCAAGCTCTCAAATCCTTTTCCTTCTTAGGTTTCTATGTAACTGTTACATGACTCTGCCACCTACTCACTCCACTGGGAGCGAAAGCCTTGGGGGAAGGAGAAATGAAGAGTACACGGCAGATGTGGACAGGGCCCAGCCACATCCTTGCACTCACCACCACAGCACCCGCCTTACTGCAAGCACCTGCTGCTCACAGCCTGAGGACTAAGGGCATGTGGAAGCAGTCCTGAGCCAGCGACAGATGGGAGCTGGAGGAGAACTAGTCCAGGGTCCTTGCCCTCGCTGTGTCCTTCACCACCTCTCTGAGATACCTAGCAGAACCGAGTGAGCACCAGCAGATACTGGCAGTAACCTGCAAGAATCCATGTCCTACCCGGGCTTACTTCCCAGCCTTTTCCACCTCCCTGCTGGGGCTTCCTGGAATCACCTCCCACACTAATGACTTGTACTCAAACCTCCGTCTCAGGGTCTGCTTCTGGGTAAACACAACCTGGATGAGCACACAAGTTTACACAGCATTGTTTGGAGCCAGGGCTACAAAGATGAGAAAGCCCTGTCCTAGAAAAGCTCATAATCTGAAAGGAAAACCAATGATTTATTTTATTTTTAATGTAAAAAACAAAACAAAATTGTACTGTTCATAGCAATGAGTTAAGTAGATAGATATGTTTAGGGAGGGAAGGAAGAAGTGACAAGCTGTGTGACTGAAGGGTCAGAGAAGCCCCGGGAGGTGACCTGTTCCACCCCAAACCCTCTAGGACACAGCCCTCCCTAGAGGAGTAAGCGGCTGATGGGTGCTGCCGATGGGCCACGGTCCATGTTCACATCCCGGCAGGCTAGCACCTTGGCTTCTCATATTTACTGTGATGCTTTACATCTTACATACAAGTTATAAAGAAGGGAATTTTTATTTTCCCCAAAGGAAAAAATTCTAGTCTTCAGCTAAAAATAACTCAGTAATATGGAAAATACAAAGAAAAAAAAAAAACTATTAAGTTCCCGACAGTGTGTTAATAGAATTACCTGTAAATCAGCTTGGACCTTCCAATGTTCCTTTGAGGTCCTTGGGATGGGCCTGAGGGCTCAACCCTAATCTCCACTAGAAGTTCTAACAAACTGCTGACATTTTCATTCAAAAATTATTTTTAAATGTAAAATCTCCTACGTTTGGCTCTGTGGTCAACACTGTAAATCAGCACTTTCTTGAGGCTGGAATCAAAGAAGAAACCTAAGGCTCATTTTTCTTTGCATCTTCCATTTTGGTGAATATTTTAGCAAAGGCAAAGCAGCAGCATAATTCCTGCTCTCAGAAAACAAGTCATACCAGCTACAGTTCGAGGGTGCTTGAACAGATCCTCTAATGTGCCAGGCAGACCTGAGCCTGACACCAGAACACTCACCCAGACCCAGCAGGGAGTGCCGGCAGAGATGCAGTGACAGGAGCCGGGGGCTTTTCTTTCTCATTCTGCTTGAAGAAAGATTTGGCTTCTTTAGAGGTAGCATCCACTTCCTTAGTCACCCTGTGCCAAGGAGGGAAATGTCAAGTTTATAAGAAGAATAAAGAAAGAAACAAAATCTAAGGAAAGGGAATAAGTGACAACAAGGAAAACACCCAATGGGCTTCCAATGAGCTCTGGCTGCTGAGGTTTCGGATTCAAGTCTACTACGACAATTCGAAATGAAGGCATCTTCCCTTACTAAAGGACCAACAACGTATGGACCTCATCGCCCTAAAATAGCCTCCGTTACTTCTGTCAGCTTGCCACACACTCCAGGGGTCACTGCTGAATCACACGGGCTGCTCACGGCAAGGCTGAGAAGGCTCTACCACTGCACCTCACACGTAGATTAGGACTCACAGTTAAGAGTCTGGGGAAAAATGGGGAGATAGAGTATTTGGGAGAAAAACACTAACATTATTTCGAGAAGAAGAGCAACAGTATAAACAACTGGGAATATTCTGCAGAATGCTCCTGTTTCACAGCTAAAATAACCCAAAGATGAAACAAAATGCCTTCAAACTGGCTAAACAACACTCATTTGGGGGTGGAAAAAAACTACAGGATGGAGAATCCTATCAAAGTTCAAATCTGGAAAAATGGTCCTCAATAAAACTGAGTCCTAAGGGATCAAATAAAGGTTACTTAGTGTCTGAGATTTTAGCTAAAGAGAGGACAAGTGTTTAACACCCGCTTACTCTTGCCAAGTCAACAAAAACATCTAAGGAATTTTCTTTAAATTCCAAACTATCTGTAAGAGGGTCCAAGATTAAGGTCATTGTACTGTGAGTGTTCAGCCAGGTCCTCCGGAAAAACTGGCCAAGAATAATGACAGGTGAATCGAATAAATTCCATCTTTGCAGGAATGTAAGTCTCTGTCTCTTCTCTCCTTCCAACTAGGCTTCTGGGGAGCAGAAGCAAGTTTTCTTATTGACAGCCAACTCACTCCTGCACTGTGTCACCTACTCAAGTGGCACAGAATAAGAGTTTGAGAGTTCTGTACTGAGAATCTTCACTAGGCAACACCGGCAAGTTAATCTTGAGGGGCGACTTAAAACACCACCACCTTCTGTTATTCCCCTATTCATGGTCTTGCAGTTGTCGGTATTACTCAGAGGATCAAATGGAAATTGCTGAACCTCTAAAATCTGGTCCTACTCTTTACCAGGCTTAATTTGTGTATCTCTCTACTCTCCCCAATGAACTTCTCAGTAATGAGAGCCAAGATTTAAAAAATAAGAGGGAGAATTTATACCAGAGATTAAACCATCACTCGGCAATTATACATTCCTTCCCTGTCGACCAAGAAGCAACTTGTGTAACCACTGATGTTGAGCTTGGGTGCATGCTTCAATGATCAATTAGATGTTGGCTGATCTGACAGGAAAAGCAACTTTAATGTTTGTATTGTTTCACTTGCCCCTTGAGTTCCTCCTCTTAGCCCCATAAGAAGAATACGCCTCAAGTACCAGCTAGTCCAAGATGGCTGAAGGACACACGCTGAAGATCTGAATCCAGCAAGCAGCTTGGAGCCAAACCCAGACTGGCTGAACCCCCGACACCCAGAAACACACGGGAACAAACAAATGCTTACTGTTGTATACCACTGAGGTTTGGAATGGCTTGTCACATAGCATTTCTGTAGCAACGGCTGATATATTTACGTTTCATGAACAAGAAATCAGAAATCTAAGGGGCTAGGTTACTTTTCCAAGACTATGCAGAGATTAAGTAGCAATGCTAGAGAGGACCCTGTAGTAGGGTCTTCCCAAAGATGGTTGCCACATCTTCCCAAAGATGGTTGCCACAACCCATTCTACATGCTCTTCCAAATTGGACATCATCCCAGTGAGAGGGGAGGTATATGTCACCCCCTGCTTAAAACTGGGTGGGCCTTTGTGGTTGCCAATTCACAGAGTTCAGTGGGACTTCTGAGGCCAGCCGATAAAAGGTGACAGAGCTCTCACCTGCCGCTCTCTCGAGAATACAACCTCAAAGCTTCAAGCTACCATACCCGAAGCCTGGCTACTCTGGATCCACCATGCTACACAGAACACCTGGGAGGATCACAGAGAAAGACGCCTGAGGAGGCTGTTCCAGTCCAGGCCCAAGACAATGGCCACAAGGAAGCCCTCGAGATGGCGCCACACCCAGCTACTAACTCCAACTGCGTAAGAGACCCTGAGCAAGAGCTGCTGGAGCCCGGTTACCCACCCACCCCCAACCAGGGGAAACGACAAGAATACAATTGTTTTAAGCCAACAAAACTGTGGAGTAATTCCTTACACGGCTATACAGATGACCAAAATAAAACCCCATCCAAACCTAAAGCTTAATGCAGAGTCCCAGTGTACTGAATTAGAACGAGGTGCTTTAAATCTCCTTGCTCTGGGTACAATCTGGGACAGATCTGAGACAGCTCACGAAAAACAAATGGACATCTGCATTTAGAAATGACAGTTTGAACACAGGCTTTATTCTCCACTCCCTACCAAAACCCTACTAAACAGTGGTAAATAAATTTACAAAGGCAAAACTACATAAGGATATGGAGAAGAGATATAACAGAGAAAAGATGCCAATCAAGTTTTCTGAAGGTAGAAAGCAAACAGACAAGTAGAAATTGGCTTTGGTTTTTGTTTTCTCTGATCTAAGCCTGTAGCCACATGGAATGGCCAATAACAAGCCAATCTATATTGTGGTAGTCTACAAAGGCTCAGTAAATTGAGTTACCAGGAACCTTTGAAGGGAGAGGAGAGGAACAGGGCTAAAATCAGTTGAAAGTTTGTCTCTGGAGCAACTAGGTCCAGATCCCCTTCTCCAACCTTGTACCATAGGCTACTGTCCCCCACCCAACCCAGCAAAACCCATTACTCCTTGGAGAAATAAAAACCACAGAAGTTCCAAACTTTGGGGCGCCTGGGTGGCTCAGATGGTTAAGCGTCTGCCTTTGGCTCAGGTCATGATTTCTAGGTCCTGGGGTCGAGCCCCACGTCGGGCTCCTAGCTCAGCAGGGAGTCTGCTTCTCCTCTCCCTCTGCTTGTGCTCTCTCTCTCAAAAATGAATAAATAAAATCTTAAAAAAAAAAAAAGAAGTTCCAAACTCACAGGGCAGGGCTGAAGTCTCATTCTGAAAACAGGGTATTAAATGAAAATCTATTTATTTGCTCTTCCTTTGCCACAACAACCTCAAAAGCTATGTGTTCCAGATGGCTGAGTTACAAGATGGAGCACTATCCAATCTGTGTAGGACTACTGCATCAGTAAGAAATAAATATGTAGAGTTGACCCTTGAACAATGTGGGGGTTAGGGGCACCAGCTCCCCACACAGTTGAAAATCTGCATATTAAGTTTTGACTTCCCAAAAACTTAACTACTAATAGCCTACTGTTGACAGAAAACCTTACAGATAACATAAACAAATGATATAATACATATTTTGCATACGTATTATACACTGTATGCTTACAATACAGGTAAAGAAAAAAAAATATCAAGGGGCGCCTGGGTGGCTCAGTCGTTAAGCGTCTGCCTTCGGCTCAGGTCATGATCCCAGGGTCCTGGGATCGAGCCCCACATCAGGCTCCCTGCTCGGCGGAGAGCCTGCTTCTCTCCTCTCCCACTCTGTCTACTTGTGTTCCCTTTGTCTCTGTCAAATAAATAAATAAAATCTTTTAAAAAAAGGAAAAAAAAAATATTGAGAAAATCATACAAGAGAAAATACATCTACAGTACTGCAAAAAAATCCACATATAAGTGGACCCATGTAGTTCAAACCCGTGTTGTTCAAGGGTCACCTGTACTGTGTTATGCTACGGAGGTTCTGGGTTTGTTACTATTATATCTATTTAACAGGAATTTCAGTAAAAGAGAAAATATGGAAGAAGTTGTCAACAAAAAAGAAAATTTCCTAGAAGGTTGACAAATTTCACGAAAAGAGCCACAGAATATCTGACGTGGCAAGTTTTAAGATCCACTGTAATATCACTGTAAAATGTTACAATGTTCGTGATAAAGAGAAGATGAAGATCAAGCCGTTCAAAGTATAAGGAAAGTAAAAGAAGCCTTTACGCAAAGCATGTTTTGTTTTGGTTACCTGTTTTACCATAGGACTGACAAAGCTCCTGCAGCAGTCACGTAAAGCAAGTTGGTAAATGTTTTCTGAAAAGCACCCTAGATCCAAGCATTGTGTTAGATGTGGAACTTATAAATAAAAATATATGCATGGTCTCTGCCCTTCAGGGGCTCACAGTCCCATCAGGACAGCTATCCATGAGATAAGTTATGACAGTACCACAAAGAAAGCATGAAACAAGTACAGCCTATGGGAGTATCTCTGCTAACTTTTTTTTTTTTTTTAAAGATTTTATTTATTTATTTGAGAGAGAGAGAGAGTGAGAAACAGAGAGAGAGCCCAAGATGGGGTAGGGTCAGAGGGAGAGGCATACTCCCTGCTCAGCAGGGAGCCCAATGTGGGACTCGATCCCGGGGACTCCGGGATCATGACCTGAGCCAAAGGCAGTCACTTAACCAACTGAGCCACCCAGGCACCCTCTGCTAACTTCTTAATGCCAAAGTCCTCTCCACAGTCAGAAAGAAATGACATCTATAAACTGTTGTTTCTCTCAGGGACTTTGGGAATCAATACAAAGTAACATAAGCAGATTTTTACTCTTCATTAATAGCATGTCCGGAAGAACTCCACTTTTAACAAGCAATAAGAAGAGATTCAGCTCTCAAAATATCTTCAAAGAGGAGAACAGTTCAATTATAGACAACTTCTAATATATAAGAGGGAACTTGATAAGAAAGGCCCACTATTAGCAATAGTTAACTCAAGTGTTATCAGCAGAAATGTCATTTTAACTTCATTTCACTTACTTAGAACTTCCTGAAAAGTCTTTATTTAGGCAGAAACTTTCCATGACTGGCCTTTTCCAAAAGGTGAATCACTCAGGAAAGTCTGAGCTAACTGGCTCAGCTGGTTATGTGATAGAGAAGGGTAAAACACACTATTTTTC